TACAGAATATACGGAAGATACGGGAGATACGAAAGATACAAAAACCAAGAAGACACAGAACAGAAAATAGTGGAGACAGGGGAGATACTGAAGATCCAGATAATATAGAAGAATATAGAAGAAGATATGAAAGTAGATAGGAAGACGAAAGACACAAAAGATACAGAAGATACCAAAGATACGGAAAATAAAGAAGATAAAAAAGATTTGGAAGATAGAGAAGATACGGAAGATACAGAAGACACAAAAGATAAAAAAGATACAAAAGAGACAGAAGACATAGAAGAGACAGAAAATACAGAAGATACGGAAAATAAAAAAGGTAAAAAAGATTGAAAAGATACAGAATATACGGAAGATACGGAAGATACAAAAACCAAGAAGACACAGAACAGAAAATAGTGGAGATAGGGGAGATACTGAAGATCCAGATAATATAGAAGAATATAGAAGAAGATATGACAGTAGATACGGAAGACGAAAGACACAATAGATACAGAAGATACCAAAGATACGGAAAATAAAGAAGATAAAAAAGATTTGGAAGATACAGAAGATACGGAAGATACGGGAGATACGGAAGATACGGAAGATACGGAAGATACGGAAGATACAGAAGATACAGATGACACAGAAGATAAAGAAGATACAAAAGAGACAGATGACACAGAAGATACAGGAAATACAGAAGATACGGAAAATAAAAAAGGTAAAAAATATTGAAAAGATACAGAATATACGGAAGATACGGAAGATACGGGAGATACGGAAGATACGGGAGATAGGGGAGATACTGAAGTGAATATCCAGATAATATAGAAGAATATAGAAGAAGATATGAAAGTAGATACGGCGGACGAAACACACAAAAGATACAGAAGATGCCAAAGATACGGAAAATGAAAAAGATAAAAAAGATTTGGAAGATACAGAAGATACGGAAGATACGGGAGATACGGAAGATACAAAAGATACTGAATATACGGAAAATACGGAAAGATACGGAAGATAAAAAAATAAAAAAGATTTAGAAGATACAGAAGATACGGAAGATACGGAAGATACGGAAGATACGGAAGATACGGAAGATACGGAAGATACGGAAGATACGGAAGATACGGAAGATACAGAAGATTCAGAAGACATAGAAGACATAGAAGACACGGAAGATACGGAAAATACGGAAGATACGGAAGATACAGAAGATACGGAAAATAAAAAAAATTTAAATGATACAGAATATACGGAAGATACAGAAGATACAGAATATACGTAAGAAACGGAAGATACGGAAAGATACGGAAGATACGGAAGATAAAAAAATAAAAAAGATTTAGGAGGTACAGAAGATACGGAAGATACGGAAGATACAGAAGATACGGAAGATACGGAAGATACAGACGATTCAGAAGACATAGAAGACACGGAAGATACGGAAGATACGGAAAATAAAAAATATAAAAAAGATTTAGAAGATACAGAAGGTACGGAAGATACAAAAAATACGGAAGATACAGAAGATTCAGAAGACACAGAAGACACAGAAGGTACAGAAGATACGGAAGATATGGAAGATACGGGAGATACGGAAGGTACGGAAGATACAGAAGATACAGAAGATAAAGAAAATACAAAAGAGGCAGAAGACACAGAAGATACAGAAAATACAGAAGATAGGAAGATACGGGAGATACAGGAGATACAGAAGATACAGAATATATAGAAGATACAGATGATACAGAACATACAGAAGATACAGAGGATACAGAGGATACAGAGGATACAGAGGATACAGAGGATACAGAGGATACAGAGGATACAGAGGATACAGAGGATACAGAGGATACAGAGGATACAAAGGACACAGAAGACACAGAAGTCACAAGACAACGAAGACGCAGAAGACACAGGAGACACAGTAGATACAGGAGATACAGCAGATATAGGATATGCAGAGGATACCGCAGATACAGAATTGTAAAAAAGATACAGAGCACACAGAAAATGGGGAAGGTATGGAACATACGGACTACGGAGTCTAAGGGAGATTCTTGAGATAGGAAGATGGAGAAGTAAATACCGAAGATCGTGAAACACGAATTATAATATAGGACGTAAGGAAGATGGGAGGGTATGAGAAGTACAAAAAACTTGAAAAATTGGGTAGGAAGATACAGAAGAAACAAAGTGTACAAAGATAGGACAGATAGCGAGGTACAAAGGATCGGAAAGGTCCTCAAGAAACGTAATATACAAAGATTGAAAAGGTAAAGGAAGTTTAGGAAGATACAGGAGGGGCGGATGATGCCAAATATGGTGAAGAAATAGAATATAAGTATAAATAAAAAGAGGATGCGCAAGGTACAGAAAATATGGAGGATAGGGATAGGTAAAGAAGAAGAAGGATATACAAAAGATACCGAAAATACGGAAAATGCGAAAGATCCGGAAGATATGAAGGATGCTGAAGACACAGAAAACGAAGGTCATGGAGAACTTTCTGAGGATCTACCTGAAGTTTAAAGACCCGGGGTACAAAGTAGAAACACTGAGGCTTCCATGCGGCAAATATACGTTTCCAGGCTCTGGGGCCACCAGGAGCTCCCCGATCGACTGAAAAGTAGCTGCCCGGGTGGTTACTGAGGGCTCTCTGAGATATGCGGTCAACATGTTCTGCACATTTAAGAGTGCTTGACCGGACAGGATATTCCTGGCTCTTCTTCAGAAGGGCCTGGAGCCGCTGCTACATTTGTCGCGTCTCTTTAGAATCTCCCTGGCCTTACGGTGGTGTTCTTATGTTCAACCATCACCTGCGCGACATTGGGATTGTAGGAGAGCCCACGTGCAGGTTCTGTGGCGAGGCAGATGAAACTACCGAGCACGTGGTCTGGACATCACCTCCTTGGCGACAGGTATCTGGAACCGGGGAGGGTGTACAAATTTAGGTTAAAACGGGTTCTTTCCTTTATTGAAATGAACGCATTAGACCTAGTTGGGCCTTTGGTGCGCCTAAGTGCTGTCTGGGAATAAAAGGCAGATACAAAAGGTATGAAAGTTACCGAAGATACAGAAGATAGGGCGATATGGAGAAGATACGGAAGATAGAGAAAGTACAGAAAGTTGTTGCATATGCAGGAGGAGCGCAATTTATGAAGATAGGACGATACAGAACACAGAAAATACGAGGTGCGGAAATTAGGAAAGGGAGAAGAATAAATAAAATAGAATAAAATAACACAGAACAGAAACAGAAAAAATGTATATAAAAAATAAGGGAGGCATAGAAAACAATGTATTTTTATTCCGGATCTAGGTTGTGCACCTGGTAGGGTGTACACGACCTCGAAAATCTACGCAAAATAGCAGACAAAATTAGAGATTCAGAAGAAAGTCTAAAAATTGATTCGAAGGCTTAAAATGTCTCAACGGTTCTAAATGATCTAGCGAAACAGCTCTCACAGAATCTAGATCATCTTCATTACTTAGAAGAACTTGATGATCTGTTGGATCAAGAAGACCTTAAGGGCGTAGAGGACCCACAGCATTTAGACAATGTTCAAGGAAGTACTAGAGGTATTTAATTTGGACTAAAGCGCATTTAGTTTTAGAGAACTCAAAGAACACAAAACCCTCTAGAGGGCGAGCATCGTGTAGAGTTTAATGTTCTGTACAGAAACGTTAGGAACACTAGGATTGAGAAAATTGATAACGTTCATAATGGGAAAGTAATTTTTGATAACTTCGACCTTTGAGATAAATAGGGATATTGGTGATTTTATAGACTTTGAACTTTGCACGTTTAAAATTTGAATTTGAGAACACTACGAAAGCTAGACAAAGGGAATTAGGGAATTATAGATAAAGTTGTTCGTTGACATTTTTTAAACAGGAACCTAAAAGCGCAAGGTGCTAGAGAACCTACAAACGCTAAAGAACAGAGTAGAGAATGAAGAGCCATTATGCCACTGATCGGTTATGCGATCGCAAATTTCAAACAATTAGGGGGAATTAACATGCTCTATGGGGTTAGGTTGAGAGAGCATCCTGACAGTAAATCGATATTTACCACCAGGTGGAGACAACGTCGCGCGGCCGCAAGCATTAAACGAACTATCCGAAACGTGCAGATGAAGTTATCTGTATTTGAGCTTGTGCTAAAAAGTTTCAGGAGCGTGCCATGCGTACGTACACTACGGAAGTTCGGAAGAAGAAACTCGCGATATTAGCATCAGAATCCCTCGCGCATTTGTAATAGTACCAACTTTGAAAAGTCGGTTTCGCTTAATTAATATTGATTAGTATTAAGATGTCAGCCCGTTTCCGACTTCATTAGCGCCCTTGAATAAGAGACGAGAGGCACATTAACGAAGACATTCAAAGAGAATAAATTGAGAGTATCGGTTCTCCTTTGTACTTCGTTAGTACTTGGTCCCGGCTTCAAAGGAGGAAAATACTAACGCCGCGCAGCTATTAACGGCTGTGTTAAAGGCTTCAATATAACGCAGCACCTAATCTTTTTCAGCAGCACTTTGAAACTCAAACTAATTGCTCGATACGTAGACAAATGATGACTCCGCAATTGGGTTTGGACGTCTGTCAGTTTAAGCAGATTTCGTGTTGATATTCAATCTGAGATTGGAGGCATAAGGGAAGAGACAAAAGTGGAGCAATAAAACGGAACGATACTGTAGAAATTTGAACCCGTATTGATTATTTACGTCTAAATATTTTGCATTCATTGCTGCACCGTATGGGTTAGTGACGTCTAACATCGTATTGCTTTTCGTTCCAGCCGATACTCACGTCGCAGTTTCTAAACGTAGTTTTATATAGTGCCCTGAAGCATCGTAGATACGCATGTTCTCGATAAAAAGATAGCGGGAGTGTGAGTGTGAATTCCGTTTAGGGAATCAAGTAAATGTACTGTCGCCTATTACTAGAGCGGTAAAATGAATTTATCCTAGTAGCAAAATGAAGCGAACTAAATCTAAAGTTAGCACCTTATCCATAAGCTGTCGCACAATTCCATTCCATTCTCCCGTCTCCAAATCGATGACGCCGTATTTGCTATCGGGAACCAATTCAATTCGATAGTCGAATCCGACCATCGAGGCGATTTCCCTCAACAGGTCTATGCAGAATCCCTCGTATCGAGCGTTGCCCGTGAGGTTTGATTGCGGTCTAAGCATTACGTAGGGTTGCTCCTAGCGGTACAATTCGACGATTTTACACGTTTGTAAACATAAAATACGTGCAAAACTAGCAGTGAAACGTGCACGTGGGGAAGGACTGGGGGAGAAAACAAACCGTACATGCTGCATTAACTGAGCAACCATGCCGTTCCACTCGCCCGTCGTCGGATTTTTAACGCCGTACTTTCTATCGGGCACTAATTCCACGAGGTACACAAATCCGACCTCTCGTGCGACGATCTCCAAAACATCAATGCAAAAGCCGTAAAAACGATTATTGCCGCTATAATTCTTTTGCGGATGCATCATTACGTACGGCATCTCCTAAGGCAGAGTCATGCACATGCCAACTTGTTCAACTACCACTCACGAGTATCGTCGTTACAATTAGCGTTACGTTCATGGAACCGGGATCAAAGAAGGCGGCATGGTCGGAAATGTTCACCCCTGCCCCAGGGCTCCATTCGCCGACCTTAACTAAAGCGTGCTGCTTCAGTTTTAGTAAATCAAGTCGAAAGTCGATCCGTCGGCCTTCCTTAAATTCGATCGGTCCACTTAAGCCTTTGAACTCCACCTGCAACAAAAATAAAGCTTCAGTCAAGGTCACGATATCCAATTAACACTCAGCATGTTGACCGGATGTTCAATCGTAACTTTACCCCTGATTGCCAAGGAAATAAACGTTTCAATTAATAGCTTCCTGCCGAAATAGTTTAGTTCGAGTTCGACTAATGAGCGTTCAACGGATCGATCGCGGCCAAATCTCGCGTAGGCCCGAAAATAAAACCTTCCCATCGACATGGTTAATTTTATTATTATTACCCCGAGGGGTAAACTTCCAATGCGAACTCGGTAATGGAACGTAACCTGAATAATGACGTTAATTATTGTGTATTAAGCATGTCTATAACTTTATAGCGAAATTAAACTACAAAGTTATTTATTCTAGAATGTGAAATGCTCCGCCTGCTATTAATGAGATACTTTATAAACATGAGCCAGTTTTCAACAACGACTTTTCATATGTGGATCTCAGGACCTCAGGAGGTATTTTTGTGGAACTGAATAAGACGGGATAACACTCCGGAAAATGAATCATTAGGAATATTCACCTTAACTGTTCAGAAAAGTTTAAAAAATTGACTGTGTCTAGCACAGATAACAGCCGACTTTTTTTTTGCCTTTTGGTCTATTCAATCTCTTTGGGTTTTTTCCCACTTCTTCAGTTTCTTTTACCTTTTCGGTTTCGTCTGCTTTTTGGGCTTCTTTCGATTCTTCGTCTTCTTTGTCTCCTCCCACTATTAGCGCGTTTTCTTCCCCTTTGAACCCTTCAACTCCTTAAGGCTATTCGACGTTTTTGAATTCTTCAGCTTATTCCGCGTGTTCGATCCTCAGGCCTGTATTAATCATCCTTTGTTTCTCCAGCTTACTTGGCTTTCTCCCTTCGGCAATTTTGGACTCATTCTTCTGTTTCTTAGGATTCTTTCATATTGCTTCAAACTCCTTCAAATATTTTCAGGTTCCTTCTTACCCATCCCTCACATTCCTTCACGTTCCCTCACATAACATATTGTGACATTCCTTCAAACCAATTCAGATTCTTCGGATTCTTCTTAATATTATTTAGAACATTCTTCGGATTCATCTGATTTTCTACTGTTTACATCATTCTTCAGCGTTTTCACTCTTCTTTAGCTTCTTTTGCTGCTTCGTCCATTTCAGACTATTTGACTTACTCGGCATCATTGACTTCTTAGATGCCTTGGAATGTTTCAACTTTCTCAACTTCTTCTTCCTCTTTATTCTTTTTCGGCTTCTTCACTCTCTTTTACCTCTTCCTCTCTTTTTCAACCTCCTTCACCTTCTCCGCACCTCTTCAGATTCTTTACTTTACATTTTTCGCTTCTTCACTATCTTTTAGTTCTTTCACTCTCTTTTACTTCTTTCGTGTTTCATCGGCTTATTCGTTCTTCGTCAATTTATATTCGTCACTTTGGCATCCTCAGTTTTAGATCCTAGCGAGCCTTGAAAGTTTTTCAGGTTCTTCAGGTTCTGCAGGTTCTCCGGATTTTTCGAGTTCTTCGGATTCTTCGGATTTTTCACATTCTTCGTATTCTACGCATTCATCCCATTCGTCGCATTCTTAGCAGTCTTCGCGCTCTTCACGTTCTTCGCGTTCTTTGCGTTCGTCACGTTCGTCAGGTTCTTCACGTTCTTCGCGTTCTTCGCGTACTTCACGTTCTTTACATTCTTCACATTCTTCGCGTCTTTCACGTTCTTCGCATTCTTCGCATTCGTCGCATTCTTAGCATTCTTCACATTCTTCACATTCTTCACATTCTTCACATTCTTCACATTCTTCACATTCTTCACATTCTTCACATTCTTCACATTCTTCACATTCTTCACATTCTTCACATTCTTCAGATTCTTCAGATTCTTCAGATTCTTCAGATTCTTCAGATTCTTCAGATTCTTCAGATTCTTCAGATTCTTCACATTCTTCACATTCTTCACATTCTTCACATTCTTCACATTCTTCACATTCTTCACATTCTTCACATTCTTCACATTCTTCAGATTCTTCAGATTCTTCAGATTCTTCACATTCTTCACATGCTTCACATTCTTCGCATTCTTCGCATTCGTTGCATTCTTAGTATTCTTCGCATTCGTCACATTCTTCACATTCTTCACATTCTTCACATTCTTCACACTCTTCACACTCTCCACCCGCTTCACAGTCTTGACATTCTTCACATTCTTCGCGTTTTTCACGTAATTCGTATTTTTCGCATTCTTCGCGTTCTTCGCATTTTTCCCATCTTTCGCGTTCTTCGCGCTGTTCGCGCTGTTCGCGCTGTTCGCGTTCTTTGCGTTCGTTACGTTTTTCACGTTGAGCACGTTGTTCACGCTCTTCACGTTCTTCAAGCTTTCCACGCTCTTCACGCTCTTCCCATTCTTCACATTTTTCACATTCTTTACATTATTCACGTTCTCCACATTCTTCACACTCACCACGTTCTTCACGTGCTTCACATTCAACTGTCTCGCCCTTCTTCAGCTTTGCCAGATCTTTTTGCTTTTTTGTCCGTTTAAGCTCTTTATACTACTTTGGCTTCGTCGGCTTTTTCGATGCCTCCAGCCTCTTTAGTTTAAGCGACCTCTACAAGGGGTTTTCCGGGATTTTAACCTTGTTCGCTGTCAGCTTTTTGAATTTAATTTATTCAGCTTCTTTAGCTTCTAAAACTCTATCAATCCCTTCCTTCCTCTTCGGCTTCTCCGGCTTCGTCGGTTTTTGGGACTTCCTTCGCTTTTGGATTCTTCCGGTTTCCTCCGCGTGTTCCTTCTATATAACGTCTTCGACCTCTAAGGCGTACTCGTCATCCTTTGTTTCTTCGACAGTTCGTCTGGTTTTTTGACTTCTTCAGCTTTCGTGGATCCTTTCGCAACTATCACGAATTTGAACCCTTCGGCATCTTCCGCTCTTCGGATTAGTTGGATCCTTTCGCTTCACCCACCTCTTCGGCGTGATCGACTTATTAGATTTCTTGAACTTTTCAACTCTCTCAACTTCCTCACCCTCCTTTTTCTTTGTCGGCTTTTCCGCTCTCTTTCACCCCCTCCGGTCTTCAGCTTCAGCACTTAACCTTTTTCGCTTTTTCATTGTCTTTTAGCTCTCTTTTATTTCCTTCATTCTTCTTCAGTTTATTCGCTCTTCATCGACTGCTGTAAATTTTTTTTTACTACAGTTTTAGATCCTTTCGATCCTTGAGATAGCTCACGTTCTGTAGGTACTTCAGGTTCTTCAGATTCTTTTATGTTTTTCAAGATCTTCATGTTCTTCCGGTTCTTCAGATTCTTCAACTCTTATTCGGCATCTTTGGCTTCTTCAGCTCCAACTGTTCGACCTATATGACCTTCCATCACTTCGGACCTTTTTGTTTTTTTGTCCTTTTGGGCTGATTTGGTATTTTTCGGCTTCTTGGTTTTTTGGATTCTTCTGATTTTTAGCTTCATCCGCTCCTTCGAGTGCGTTCGCTTCATGCTTTGTGGCATCTTTGGAATCAACGGCTTCTTCTTCGATTTCTTCATCTGCCCAGCTTCGGATTCTTCGGTTCTTTCTGCTTTTTTTAACGGTCGACTTCTTCAACTTCTTCGAAATTTTCGTTTTCCTAAACTTCTCCGGCTTATGTGTTCTATTCGGCGTTTTCCACGTCTTCGATCTCTTCCAAAACTTTGGAACATTATGCCTATTTGGTTTCATCGGCTTCTTAAGTTTCTTCAGTTTTAGTTTCCTCACCTTGTCGCCTTTCTTAGCTTACTGGATTTTTCGGTTTCCTAGGCTTCCTCGCTCTCCTTGACTCCTTCGGCTTCTTGACCTTTTTTGCCTTCTTCGGTTTCTACATCTCCTTGGTTTCTACGGAGTCTTCGGCTTCTTCGACTTCTTATTTAGCCTTTTCTTCTCCTTATTCTTCTGCTTTTTCTTCGATTTCTTCTATTGACTTCATTGTCTTCATCGGCTTTATCGGCTGCTTCACCTTCTTCGGCTGCTTTTTCGGCGTGTTTCTACATCGGAATCTTTACTACACTTTCGCATTTTTATTTTTCTTCGTCAGTCTTACTAATTTTCTTTTACTGTTTAACTCTTCAGTTTCTTAATTCTCCTTCAGTTTTTCACTCTTTTTGATCTTAGGCTTCTCCAACTTCTTCGATTTCAGATTCATCGGCTTCTTCCTGGCTTCTTCGACCTTGCTGGGCTTTCTCTTCTTCTTTGACTTCCTCAGGTTCATGGGCTTCCTCGGTCTCTTCGGCATCCTCGGTGTCAGATCTTTTTCAGCGTCTTCTTAAGCTTCTTCTGCGGCTCCTTTGGTTTCTTGGGCTTTTTTTTGGTCCTTCGGATTTTTGAGTTCACCTTTTTTTGCTTCTTGATTACTTCGGCTTCTTGAATTTTTTCGGATGCTTCGACTTTTTCGGGTTTTTAAAATTGACTTTTTCAGTTTTTTCGGCTTTCTTTTGCTACCGGTTCTGCTGCGGTTTTGTCTCAAAACAATTGATAAGAGAAGGCTTTGTGTTAGGAAGCATAACAGGAAAGAGTTATCTTGCGTAGCCAGTGGGGCGGCCATGTATTACACGGCTATTATTTTCTCTACAACAATCATTCAATCAACTTACTGGATACTTCTGAAAGCGAGCTGTCCAACTAATTATTAGACGTGACCTAAAATTTCCACAGTCTTCCTTTTATCAAAATTTAGTTGGCTCATACCTTGTTAAATAAATATAAGTTTAATAGCCAAACAGACATTTCCCATTTTCCAATCGTTTCCAAAATTCTTCTCGGCTCTCAGGGCCATCAGAGAGAACATCCAAATCGGTCTCCTTTATACATGAAACGTATTTCAATAAATATGAATTTTATTCCCAAAGAGGTGTTTCCCATTTTCGAATGGCTTCCATTTCGAGACAATTTAAGAGAAGAACTGTTTTAAATGTCAACCAAAGGGGTCAGCCACACGTACACACATATCCACATACACACATACGTACACACTAACATTTCTTGGACTCCTG